GGCAGCAGGCTCACCCCAGGCGGTCACCAGAAGTTCTTTGCTAAGAGCCAGGATCTTACAACCACTTGTAATTAGTGCTGTTGAGCATTTAATTTGCCTTTAGTTAGGTAACAAGCATGTATTGATTACCTGATCGGAGCCAAGTGCCCGTCTTGAGCAGTATAGGAAAAGTGATGAATGGGGCACCAGCTCTGTGTATGGGCTACTCAGGGGTGAAAATATGCACTTTGGGAAGGAAATGTGAGACAGCTAAGAAATGGGGAACAGCATCGCGAAACAGGGAATTCTTCCTTTTTTCAGAATTTGGGTCTCTGAATCCTGGCACGTGCCCCTCTGTGAACAGGCACGTGTTGTCAAATCTTATCTCGGGGATGAGAATACAGTCCCAGCATTCCTTTCCTCCGGAGAGACCCAAGTGTGGCAGGGGTCCAAGACAGAGGCAGCCACCACCAGCCCGTGGCTTTATTTGGTGATGCTCCTAACATCTCAGGTAAGCACAGTGGCAGCCCAGTGAGCTAAGACTCACCTTGAGATTCTGTTTTATGGCCACAGTGTGGCAGAGGGTAGACCCAGTCTAGCAGCACCTAGAAACAGAGAGGATGGGGTGTGGCTCAGCATTCATAGCCCCTGGAGTCTGTCCTCAACACTCAAACCAAAACAAACAGCAGAAAGATTTTCTAATGGGGCACACAGTCCATCAAAGTGAGGTCAGGCCAATGTGGGCCATGGGGGTCAAGGGCATGGTGTGGGGACCTGGCCAGGATGCTTCTGTGGTCATTATATTTGTATGGAGTGGTTATCATTATTGTTATTGTTGTTATTTTATTATTATTATTATTATTATTATTATTTGTTTTGTGTGTCTGAGTATTTTTGCCGGAATGTATGTAAGTGCATCCATGTTGTGAATGCCTGCAGAGGTCAGAAGAGGGCGTCAGACCCCCTGAAACTGGAGTTAAGGATGGTTGTGAGCCACCATGTGGGTGCTGGGAACCTAACCCAGGTCCTCTACAAGAGCAGCCAGTGCTCTTAACCACTGAACCATCCTTCCAGCCCCTCTTCTTACTACTTAGCACCAAGGATAGAAAAAGAGACAGGGCACTGACCTCCTGAAGCTTCCTAAGCAGTGGTTTACCATGTCCCAGGAGACGCAATAATAAACCAGAACCAAGCCTGAAGCCCCCATGCTCTGAGTTGGCACACACTAGACTGGGTCCCCACAGGAACTGCATTCCTGGCAGAGGGACCAGTAAGACACAGAGGGTGCAACAGCCAGCCGATCCTCAGAGAAACAGAACTTCTTCCCCTCTGGAGACTGTGGCAGGGACACCAGCCAAACGGTGGCTGTTCCCAAGGTTTCTGAGGGTGCAGGTGGAGACAAAGATCTGGAGTGTGCTTCTGCAGAGACAGCCTTGCATACATGGGAATGTCCATTCAGCTGGTGGCACCCAACACCATAGGTCAAAGTAATGATGGGTTTTGAAAAAGACAAGGTACTAGGGACTTGGGAGATGGCAAAGCTGAGTTCAAGTCCCAGAACCTACATAAAAGAGCCAGGCATGGTGGTGTGGGCTTGTGACCCCAGTGTTGGGAAGGTAGAGATAGGTGTCTCTCTGGGGCTCCCTGGCCACCTAGCCCAACTGAAGTGGTGATTCAGCAAGAGACCTTGATCCAAAAAACAAGGTCAAGAGCAACTGAGGGAGACACCCAGCGTGGACCTCTGCCTCCCCATGCTGGCAAACAGAGAGAGAGAGAGAGAGAGAGAGAGAGAGAGAGAGAGAGGAGAGAGAATCTCCTGGTGGCCACAGACACACTTAGTTTTGTTTTTTTTTTTTTTCAAACAACTACTTTTAACAGAGCACGAGCTCCCTCCCGCGGTTACAGCTGGCTCCCCAGAGATCCAAGCATGAGTCAGACTGCCCTCCCATGTGGGGAGCCGGCAGAAGCCCAGCATCCTCAGAGACGGTGACCACGGGCACGCTGTGCAGCAGGTGCCTCTGGGACTGGCTTTTTCCTGCTGGCCCCATCCCCATTGGCCTACAGAGCCACTGTCCTGCTGCTCAGTCACCTCTCCAGAGCAAAGTCACAGGGGGCCTAAGGTGAGGGGGCTTGACCTTGGGACACCTGGTCTGAGACGGAAAGAGCTCTCCTCATGATCCCAGGACCAGTAGCAGATCTGGAATCTCAACCAGGGCTGGGGGACTCCTGGTAAGGAAACAGCCTGTCCTCGCTTTCCCAAACTGTCTTTCCCCCAGGGGCCTCCCATGCTATTTTGACTTGGCTCACACCCAGCAGTCTCCCCATCCTCCCTCAGGTTGCAGGCTCTGAACCTCTAAGGTGTTCACAAAACTCTCCTTCAAGGCTCCTTTCAGCTGCCTGGATAGTGTGTGTTTTGATGGGCAGAGAAATAATCTCTGTGGAAGAGAGGGAGGGGCTTAGAGGTTAACAAAGCTGAAGGGGAGCTCATGAGGGACTAGGGTGTTGGAGGGAGTGACTAAGTGTCTAGCACCCAGCCAAGGGCCTTACCATAGCAGGTGCTCAGTAAGCAAGATGGGGGGAGGAGGGAGAGGCAGGTGGAATGCCTTAGGAGGGGTCCAGAGAATCCATGGCACCATGTTCTGGGCTTGAGAACACAAGCAGGGGGCAGGGAGGAGAAGCAGCACCAGGCTCACAGTCTCCCTGGGATCTAGGTATGGGAAGTCAGTGACTTCCATACCCCATGGAGAAGAACCTGACCTGAGCAGGAGTGAGGCCGACACAGGAACCTGGCCTGGGTTTACTGGCTCACCAACAGCACTGGTCAGAAGATGCTGGGCTCTGAGGTGTAGCAACATTCACTCATTAGCCCTTGGTTACACCTGTCCCAGCTTCCCATGGGCCGGGGGGGGGGGGGCTCCGAGGGTCAGCGAAGCCTGGAGAGGGCTGTTGTCTGAGTGGAGGTGTCCAGGTCATGAGGAATGCTCGGCTGCTAGGGATATCACAGAGGCCATCCTCTGTCTTTACCCAGAATGAGGTGCTACCCTGTCCTAAATCACACAGTGTACAAAATCGCACAAACACACTGTGTTGGGACAGATCAAGTCTTAAGCGGAGCAGGGCTGGCTGCAAGGAGGCCACAGACCCTTCCTGGCAGAAAGGAAGGTGGATAAAGACCATCCCACACTGAGATCCCCAGCACCAAGCCTACACTTGGAGCTGTCTGTGACAGCAGAGTAGGGTCTCCCCACAGTGCTGGAAGCAAAGCCACCCTCACCCCAAACCAGGCTATGAGCCGGTGATCTTATCATGGCCACCAGGGGGCGATGGCTGGCCAGCAGCATGGGGCAGCACAAGAGACACTTGGTAAGGGTTTTGTTTTAGGTTTTAGCTTTGTGCAGAGACTCAAGTCTGCTGGTGGAGGTGGGATGAGAGAAGGCAAAGGACTCAACTCTCAGGTGGAGAAAAGTAAGTTTAATTCTAAGAGTGGCTCTTTATACCTGATGAGCAGGGGCAGCCAAGGATACAGCGTGCAAAACATAAATCAAGCAAAGTTCAAAGTAAAGAGTGTTTTTCTTTTCTGTTACTAACCGAACTCTCCCAGAGCTCTAGTCCGTGAGAAAGGAAAACACAAGCCCATCCTCTGTCATTCTTACTGTCCCAAGGCGGAGTTCTGCCCTGACCAGGAGGCGGAGTTCTGCCCATGACCGGGAGGCGATGCTCCACCAGTGTCCATCCTCTTGTTCTCAAGAGACAGCTGGGCTCGATCTTGTCTTTGATTCACCTTCTGCAGAACTGAGCTCCATCAGCTTTGATTGTGTTTGTTTTTTCTGAGATAGGGCTTCACTGCCACCCACGTTGACCTTGAACTCTCAATCCTCCTGCCTCAGCCTGCTGACTGCTGGGATTAGAGCTAGTGCCTCTACTCCAGCCAGCACTGGAGCCCAAGCCAGGCAGACTGAGGAGGTGGAGATGCTGGTTCCATAGAAATTTCTCCCTCCATTTCTCCTTTCTCTGTCCATCCTTCATTTTACTTCTGTTTACAAGAAGTCAAAAGTCAATGAGGAAGCTGGGGCATGGGGGCTTGAACCCTCATAAAGTTCTGCTTTATCAAAACCCACCCCAGGCCAAGCATGGTGGCACAAGTCTTTAATCCTAATACTCTGGGGAATGGGGGGACAGGGGCAGGCAGATCTCTGTGAGATCAAGACTGGCCTGGTCTATAGTAAGTTCCAAGTCAGCTGGGGCTACAGGGAGACCCTGTCTCAAAAAGACAAAAAGGGGGTGCTGGAAAGATGGCTCAGCAGTTAAGAGCACTGACTGCTCTTGCAGAGGACCCGGGTTCAATTCCCAGCACCCACATGGCAGCTAGAAACCATCCTTGACTGCAGTTCCAGGGGAATCCGAAGCCCTCTTCCGACCTCCACAGCATTGCACCACATTGGTACACTCACATACATGCAGGCAATACACTCATACACATAAAATAAAAATACATTTTTTTGGTCTTTTTGAGACAGGGTCTCCCTGTAGCCCCAGCTGTCCTGGAACTCGCCATGTAGACCAGGCTGGCCTTGAACTCACAGAGATCTGCCTGCTTCTGCCCCCTGAGTGCTGGGATTAAAGGCATGCGCCACCACGCCCAGCAAATAAAATATTTTTTAAAAGGCAGGCAGGGGGTCTGGAGAGACGGCTCAGCAGTTAAGAGCACTGGCTGCTCTTGCAGAGGACACAGGTTCAGTTTCCAGGACCCACATGGTGGCTAGCAAATGTCCCGAACTCTAGTTTCTGGGGTTCAACACCCTCTTCTGACTTCCACAGGCACTGCACAACATGCACGCACTTACATACATGCAGGCGATACACTCATACACATAAAAATAATGAATATTTTTTAAAGACAAAAAAAACCCCACCCCAGGCCATTTCCCCTGGCTGCCAGGCCCAGGGGACAGGGCAGGAATGGGGGGTCCACTCCCTCAAGGACGACCAGGGACCAGTTTCAATCCAGCACACACACCACACCAGCAGGGAAGGTGTCTTTATTAAAGATGTAAGCAACACAGAAGTACCGTGTGCAATGCTCCACAACATCAGACACAACAGGAAGGCAGAGCCACGCTCACTGCACAGAGCCATGTGCCCGGCCCTGCCACGTGTCCGGCCCTACACGAGCTTTTCCCTGGACAAGGGACCCCAATGGACCTGCTTCAGAGACAGCCTATAGCAGGCCCCTTCCATAGAGTGAGCCTCCCACCACCATGCTGGGCTTTTCTCAGTCACGCAGGGAACAGACAAGCGTGGTGGTCCCTGTTTGTGAACTCGCTGGCTGCCGGCACACCTGTCATCTGGCCATCTTGCCATCACTTCAGCTAAATCTAGGCCAGAAGACAGAGTGGATAGAGGAGTAACACACAAGCTTTGCTCCCTCAGACACTCCGTATGGCTGAGACGCCAAGACAAACAAGCAGGTTTGCCAATTCCACCTGTGTGAAGGAGGCTGTTCAACCTGCAGACTGGGTCAGCTAGCTGACAGTCTGGCATTTGAGTGACACTGACCGGGAATCCCAGAACCATGCTATAAGGCTGTGGCCAATTCTCCATGCAGTTCTGGGTCTGTGTGGACACTACACATACCACTAAAGCCTTCAGATGCCACACGTGGCCTCAGGCCAGCTTTCCTCCTGGAACATTCCTCAAGCTCTTCTGTGCTGTGCTTAAAGAGCTTCCTGCTGGAGGTGTCTCTGAAAATGACTTGGGACAGGTCCTGTTAGGTGACGGGAAGGCTCAGAGGACTAACTCCACAGGACAGACCCACCTCTCCATCTCCCTCCAAGTGGTCCCAGTGTGCCTTAGAGAAAGGCCTGCTAAAACAACAAACCCTGAGTACTTCCTACCAGCCTGCATGGCTCATTCTTGCTTCCCGTTGGAAATGGACTTGTGTTTGGTTGACTGACGTTTATTTAGATTTCCAGTGTAAAGCTCTATAAAATACAATGAGTAACGTGGGGTACAGGGCAGAGATTCGAGCTGCCTGTGGCATGGAGACTCGAATGCCACAGGCCAGGCTGCTGTGCGTGGTATCATCACACTCCTCAGCTCTCTCCACGGGTTTGTCCCCCTGTTGTTTCCACGCAGCTTCCAGAGTGTGTCCAGCAAGGAATAAACAAACGCAAACAGGACTTTTAGCTAGCAGAGCGTCTGGAAACCGTGAGCATGCAAGTTCGCGGTTTCTATTATTATAAATAAAAGTCAAACGTGAGGTCGCACTTCCCCATCTTCTGTTTATACACTAGGTCAAACTTCTCATTCATGGAGACGGTGAAGATGTCCTTCCACAGCCCGACTCTGCCTGCAACACAGAGCACAGCTTTCTGTGTTCACCAGCTTCGGGACAAGAGAAAGCCTTGGGAATGGATCTGGAAGCCTCCAGATCTATTCCTTGACCCTTCTGAACTTGGACTACAGGGTGGGATGAGGTACCTGAGGTACAGAGCACGTGGGTCTTGCATATGGAGGAACAGGAATGGAACCAACTTCCCTACATCAGGAGTGAGGTACAGCCACCTGCTGCCCCTTACCCGCCCAGGCCTCACACAGACCCACCCCTACAGCCACCTGCTGCCCCTTACCCGCCCAGGCCTCACCCAGCCCCCCACCTCCAGCCACCTGCTGCCCCTTACCCGCCCAGGCCTCACCCAGCCCCCCACCTCCAGCCACCTGCTGCCCCTTACCCGCCCAGGCCTCACCCAGCCCCCCACCTCCAGCCACCTGCTGCCCCTTACCCGCCCAGGCCTCACCCAGCCCCCCACCTCCAGCCACCTGCTGCCCCTTACCCGCCCAGGCCTCACCCAGCCCCCCACCTCCAGCCACCTGCTGCCCCTTACCCGCCCAGGCCTCACCCAGCCCCCCACCTCCAGCCACCTGCTGCCCCTTACCCGCCCAGGCCTCACCCAGCCCCCCACCTCCAGCCACCTGCTGCCCCTTACCCGCCCAGGCCTCACCCAGCCCCCCACCTCCAGCCACCTGCTGCCCCTTACCCGCCCAGGCCTCACCCAGCCCCCCACCTCCAGCCACCTGCTGCCCCTTACCCGCCCAGGCCTCACCCAGCCCCCCACCTCCAGCCACCTGCTGCCCCTTACCCGCCCAGGCCTCACCCAGCCCCCCACCTCCAGCCACCTGCTGCCCCTTACCCGCCCAGGCCTCACCCAGCCCCCCACCTCCAGCCACCTGCTGCCCCTTACCCGCCCAGGCCTCACCCAGCCCCCCACCTCCAGCCACCTGCTGCCCCTTACCCGCCCAGGCCTCACACAGACCCACACCTACAGGCCACTGGGAGGGATGTCACCTCTTGCTTCAGGTTCAGCCCTGGAGGGACTCAGTAGCCCTGCTAGAGAGGAGGTCCTGTGGAGCAGAGTTCTGTGCTCTGAGGAGTAGGGAGACCTTGACTCAGCTCCACAGTGCTGCCTTCTGTTAGGAAACCACCTGCCTCTGGGGAATTTAATAAATGAAAAGATTACCCCAAGGGCCAGAGCAAGAAGCCCACCTGAATAGGGTCAAAGGTGGAAATTTCTAGAAGTCTGAGCTCAGAACTCTGGGGAGGTCTTAAAGTGAATAGAAGATCTATGGCATAAGCTAGCTTTCGGGGCCAGACAGAGAATGTGCCACGCCTCACTTGCAGCTGCTCTGCACCTCGACCCCGGACTGAGTCTCATACTGTCCAGGCTGCTATCCAAGCTGATCAGAACCAGACCTCAGCCTGGGAGCTCAAAGGGGTGCTGGGTCATAAGCTAACATGCAGACCCTGGGTTTAGAGGGAAAGAAAAGAACTAAAAATGATGATGGAAATGGGGACCCCATTTTTCCTGTGGATGACAAAACCTCCCAGGGTCAGGTCCCATATCAATTGATAGTCATCCTCCATAGTTAAGATTAAGATTCCAAGCCTCCTACCAATGGGAGCAGCAAACAGGTATTGGGGTGGCTCTGGGCTTTTAAACCAGCTCCTTGGGGACAGAGTGTTCTGTGAAGAATTCTCTCTGCTTTCGGCAGCTCTGAGGTCAAAGCTCTGTCTCCAGCAAACAGCCTTCCCTCAGCTCTTAACAGCCACCCTGTCCCAGCAGGACTTGAGGCATGCAGCAAACGCTGAGCTACAATTCCTGATGCGTCAAGACTTTCTCTTCGGTAACAAAAAATGATCTATTCATGTTGGGAAAAAAACAAAAACAAAAACAGGTTTGCCGCCTTCTAATGACACTATAGGGACCAAATTAGAAGTTTCTAGACCAACCACACCATAAATATATTTCTTCATGATTATTTTTCTCAGATGAGAGGCATCATAGGAGTCACCCACCTGGTTTATGATTTGGAATCAAGACAACTTATGCTGTGATATGAATCAAATTTAAGCAATGCAGCTGGCTCCCCAATCCCCTGTATCCTCACCCGCCTCAAGGGGATCTTCTGAGCAAAGAGGCAATGTGCTAAAAGAAAACAAAACCACAGAACTGAAATAAAGCCAGACCAAAGCTGACAGTGAGAGCGGGTGCCTCTGAAGGAGGTGGACATGCAGAAGCACACTCACACCGGTGTGCACACTCACACCCAGCGTCCACACGCACACCCCCGATGTGCACACTCACACCCGTGTGCACACTCACACCCGTGTGCACACTCACACCCGTGTGCACACTCACACCCGTGTGCACACTCACACCCGATGTGCACACTCACACCGGTGTGCACACTCACACCCAGCGTCCACACGCACACCCCCGATGTGCACACTCACACCGGTGTACACACTCACACCCAGTGTCCACACACACATCCCCGATGTGCACACTCACACCGGTGTGCACACTCACACCCAGCGTCCACACGCACACACCTGATGTGCACACTCACACCCAGTGTCCACACACACCCGGTGTGCACACTCAAACCCGGTGTCCACACTCACACCCGATGTGCACACATACAGACTGTACACATTGCACATGAACCCAAAGTACAGCTGAGGAGATGGTCACGGACTAGGATAAAAAAAAATAGTAAAAGAAAAATGGAAAAAAATGGCAAATAAATTCGAGATAATAAACGCTTGTGAAGATGCAGCCAGGAAACACATCACAAGGGAAGGGATTGGTGAGCTTCCCAGAAGAGCAGACTGCTTGGCATGTACAAGGACCAGCTTGGGCACCTGACCCCCTGAACTGCCTTTGGGACCCATTAGCTGGCTTTTAGAGGAAGGCCTAGAGGACCTGGCCGCTCCAGCACTGAGCAAAGTCACATCTGGGGGTGGGGGGTAGTCAGGCTGAAACCAGAGTCGCTCCTCCCCACCTTGAGCACTGCCCCTCCATCCTACAAGGTGGTGGAAGAGGAGTCCACGGTCACAGGCTCTCCCCTCATGTCTCCTCATTCAGTCCACACTGCTAATAACCGGCTTCACATGTGTTACAGCATACTTACCTGCAAGGTCTTGTGGGGGTTGCTATCTGGAGACTCCAGCAGGTAGCCCATGGCCTGAAGGGCCAGGAGGGTACCCCAAGGCCCTGGGAGGACGCCCACCTGGAATATCGCTCCCTAAGTCAGCTGCCCGAAAATCCTCTTGCTGCCAAGGATGTGCCCTGCACCCTCTGGGCCACCTCCACAGTGCCTGCTCTGCCTACCCATGTTTTCCTGCCCTGAGTCCTGGCCATTCATCCCCTGTGCTGCTTGTATGCAGAAGACCTTCCCTTGGTCAGCATCCTCTGGGTAAAGGAGGAGAGAGGGCGTCTCCCCACACAGCACCCATCTTCCCATTCCTGTGGCTCACACCCCCCACATCCCGTGGAAGGCTGCCAAGTACATGGCCTGCCTTTTGCTGTGAAACACCCTGACACCACAGCCCTGCCCTGTGTCTGAGCTGTGTGGCATCCGATTTTGGCCACAGGGAAGGGCTCTGTGTAAACACGCCTTGCCCAGAGCCCATGCCAGCCTTACTGACTGCCCTTGCGGCATCACAAGTGCGGGTAGGCAGGGCACATCATTGGTCAGCAAGTGCCCGGGCAAAGCAAGAGGGCACAGGCCAGCAAGGATTACCATCCAAAAGAGAAATCAGTCCAGAAAGTCGTAGACAAAGAGGACCCAAGCAGTGAGCAGGGACGGGACACATACCTCGGCCCACAGGCAGAGCCTCTGCATTGCAGCACTGGTCTACCAGCTGGTGACAGTGTTCGATGAGGGATTCCAACTGGGCCTTGTCACAGGACACACCCAGGAATCTGGCCAGCTGCTCCACCATGGTCACCAGGTCCTGGAAGACAAGGACAGAGAAGAAAGCATCCCGTCAGAGGCGATGCCGGGGACAGCACTGACAGCTTCCTTCCCTGGTGCTCTGGAAAAGAGCCGGCGGGGGGGGGTACAGTATTGTCTAAGGCACTCAGCTCCCAAGCTACTGGTCTTGTATTCAAACCACGGCCCTGAGGGAGGGCAGGAGTCGGGATGTAGACAGGAGGTCTTGAGAGCTGTGGTGCATGTATAAACAACAACAGTAAGTAGGAATGTCTGTCACCAGCAAGACTAGCTGTCACTAGCCACAGGAATCCACTGATCCCCACATATCCCTGAGAAGCCAATGCCCCACCCATCTCACCTGCAGGAAGGGGGTCTGGCAAAGCGAGAGCCTACTAAGCTTGCTCACCGGACAAAGCCATTTCTGGGCCCCACGATGCCCACTCCCGAAGATGGAACACAGCTGAGGCAAGCACGCCTGCTCCTTGTGGCGGCCACTTCCTCCCTGGAAATACCCAGGCTCCTCCTATCCCCAGTGGGATCCCTGAACTGTCTTCCAGAGCCTGCTGGCAGCTGCCCGTTAGGGAAATGTAGGAGGCCTTTTCCCCTCCAGAAAAGCTCTAAAACAAATCTGCACCCTGAAGCAGGTGTTTCCTCTATTGAATTGGCCTGTGGGCATGTCTGTGAGGCATTTTCTTGATTGTTGCGTGATGTGGGAGGGCCCTGCACACTATGGATGGTGCCACCCCTGGACCTTGGGTTGTATAAGAAAGCAGGCTGAGCACGGGTCAGAGGAGCAGACAGTAATCAGTGTTCCTCCGTGGTCTGTGCTTCAGCTCATGCCCCCAGCTTCCTGCCCTGACTTTCTGTCTTGGTCTCCCTTGATAATGGAGTGTGGGCTATATAAGCCAAATAAACCTTCTCTTTGGTTTTGGTCAGAGTATTTTATCACAGCAATAGAAAGCTAACTAAGAAAGATGGGTCAGTTAAGAGCGCATACTGCTCTTGCAAAGGAACTAGGTTTGGTTCCCAGCACCCACATTGGATAGTCAGAAGTACCTGTAACTCAAGCTCCAAGAGGATCCAATGCCTCTGACCTCCACGGGCACCCGCACTCCCATGCACACACACGCACTCCCATGCACGCACGCGCACACACACACACACACACACAATTAAAAGTAACCTGACCCCCACACTCACATACACATACTCCCCTCCCATACACACACAATTTAAAGTTACAGTAAATCTTTTTTAAAGGGTAGCAAGCAATTCTGTCATTGTAGTCCAGCTTTCAGAGGGAACAATGTGGTTCTCCTGGGACCCTGGTGAGTCCCCTAGATGGGTTTATCATAACAGAGCCTGACCCCTGAGCCCCTCTCTGGTTTCCTATCTCCCTCTCCCACCCTCTACTTCCATGACACCATCACCACGATGTGATATGGCCAAGAAGCCCTCACCAGAGGTCAGCCAGTGCAGGCACCATGAACCTCCAAAACCATAAACTGAACTGGCATCTCTGGTTTTTACAAAATATCAAGATTCAGGGGTTTTATTATAAACTGAAAGCTGACTAATGCACTGTGTGAGAATGCCAGGGAGCCTCAGATGGGCTTTGCTGGAACACTGACTGTCGAGCTGGTGCAGCAGCTCCAACAAGAGCAGGTAAGAGGTCTTGGCTCTGATCAGACAGCATCAGGCCCGAACACCCTACTGAGAAGCCAGAAAGAGATATGACAAATGAGCTAGCCTCCAAGACTGAGGCAGTGTTCTGGCTTTAAGCTCACATAAGCCTTGCGTCCTGTTTCCTGGAGGCTTGATCCTGAATGTTTTGGTCCCTCCACTGAGTAACGTTGTTCCAAAAAGAACCTTCAGACTGCGACAGGCATCCCCAGTGGGTGTGTGGTGCTGCTGGCTACACTGGATATGCTCACTGTCACCACCTTATAAGAGAGCCCTCACCTGACCCTGAGCAGTGGACGTCCCACCACCATGTCACAGGGGGCAACGGAACAAACAGCTGCCAACTTAACATGCCTAGTTTCCAGGAACAATGCAAATACACAGGAGCTGCTGTCTACCAAGACACAAGGAGGTGACCACAGTCTATTCACAGCTACCTCAGAGGCCAGCAGCACAGAAGGGACTGGACCTTCTGTAGGGGGCATTGCATGAACACAGAAGGACATACTTCTGTCACATGACAAGTCTCACCATCTCCAGATACCTCAGCACACAGAGCACATGCAGGGGCTCAAAGGAGGGCAACATGCAGTTGGAGAGCTGGTTCAGCAGTTAAGAGCACTGGTTGCTCCCGCGGAGGTCCTTGGTTCAGAACCCAGCACCCACATGGCAGCTAACAATTGTCCTTAACTCCAGTTCCAGGGGATCCAGTGTCCTCTTTTGTCCTCCACAGGCTCCTGCACACATGCGGTATGCATAAACTCATTCACACAACACACACTAATAAATTGGGGAGAGGGGGATGGAGAGATGGCCCAGAGGTTAAAAGCACTGACTGCTCTTGCAGAGGATCTGGGTTCAATTCCCAGCACTCACATGGCAGCTAAAAACTGTCCATAACTCCAGTTCCAGGGGTCTGACGCCTTCATCTGACCTCTGTGGGCATTGCATGACATAGGTGCACTTACATGCAGAAAATATACCCATATACACAAAATAAGATAAAAATATTTTAAGATG